AAGAACATGTGAAATCACATGGCATTGCCCAGTAACTATGATGTTACATAAGCTTCTGCTGAACACAGATTCCACCAAAGGCAAGGAAAAGCAGGAATCTGGAAGTAACCAAGTTACTTTTAATAGGCAAGTTTAATTTGATATTGCTGTGGGGCAGAAAATGGGGTTCAAAAGCTAAGTGAGTAATACTAACAGAGAAATAAATACAGTTACATTTTTGCAGACTTGAGTGTGGAGACAATGAATTATAAATCTTCTCTAAACCTAAAAGGAAGAACCAGCAATAATTAACTCATTCTGTCTGTGCTAAGCATATAAAAAAAAAAAAAAAAGAAGAAAAAAGAAAAGAAAAAAAAAGAAGATAGCAGGAGGGGAAGAATGAAGGGGGGGAATCAGAGGGGGAGACGAACCATGAGAGACTATGGACTCTGAGAAACAAACTGAGGGTTCTAGAGGGGAGGGGGGTGGGAGGATGGGTTAGCCTGGTGATAGGTATTAAAGAGGGCACATATTGAATGGAGCACTGGGTGTTATACGCAAACAATGAATCATGGAACACCACATCAAAAACTAATGATGTAATGTATGGTGATTAACATAATAATAATTTTTTTAAAATGTGCTACAGCTTCTACACTGGAATCAATAGTAGAACATGAATATTTACCCTCAAATTGACTTTCAAATCCAGGATAGTCTCACCTAACTTCAGTGAGGAAAAAAACAAAACAAAACTAATTTATTCTGTTCTTCCTTTTTTTCTCCAATATTGCAGAATGCAATATAGTCATATGGAACTGTCTGAATATTATAGTCAGGATTTCCTTAATGTATGCTGTATTTCAATTTTATTTAAATTTTTGCTAGATTCCTTGATAAAAAAAAATCTACTATACATGCTTGTTAGATTTATCAAATTTGAATAAAAATCTTAAAGGAAAAAATAAACATATAGCCAGTATACTAACCATTCAAGTATCTTTTCCACATTCACAACTAAGCAGTGAACATTGAATCAGCAGTAAATTTATGTCTCTCAGATCATTCCTCATCTTTGATTATATGTCATATTCTCTTTTCTGATTCCTGCAACTAAGATTTTACCCTTTGCCTGTCCACTGCCCTCATTCATCAGTCTGATTTTTATTTTTTATATCTACTCATTTTGATTCAGATTTGTTCCATGCTAAGTAACATTTAATGCCTGAAACAGAAATTGATCCTACAAAACATGTTTCATTTAATTTGCTTTTGATAATCCCCACACTAATAGCTCAAAATAAATTTACCATAAAAATCAAGGTAACACTTGAGGACTAAGTGTTCAAATTCACTTAATCCTAAACCAATTTAAAAATATTTTTAAATATAATAGCGATATAAATTTAAAAATTAAACTTTGCACACTTTCACTGACTGAAGATAATCATTTAGCATTCTGCTCTATGTCATTTATTTCCTTTTCTATACAGTGATCTAGTGAATTCTTTCCACAATGTTTTCTCCTAGTTTATCTTCTTGGTCGTGTTTTATAAATTCATTAAGATTTTGAATATGGCTGCTTCCTGTGTCCATTCCCATGCTGAACATTCTGCTGGAGCTAAGGTGACATCATCTAGTTACAAAACATCTTGTTAATCTGAACTAAGACAGATATATAGCTTTGCATACGTGAAACTGGCAAAATCCTTTCCATCTGTCTTCTTTAAATATAGCTTCTGCCGGACAGATTTATATGGGAGTAGAAAGGTAGCCAGTCAAGGTAGAATCTTTGACAGAAGCCTGTGCTTTTCGGACTCCTGGCTCCTGACTGAGAGGATTCACATTCTTTAAATGTTATTTAATAGGATTTAAATTTTGTTTTCAACATTGAGATCCCCAGAGGAAATGCTACCCTATCTGTGCACAGAGACAGGCTTAAAGATTACAGAAAAGCAGACACAGAAGTTTGCTTAAGGCAGGATTTTGAAGTTTCTCCTGTGTCTAGATAAGCAGTTGATTAAGACCTCAAGGTCCATTCTGTATAGAACAGCATTTCTAGGGCCTGGCAACAGAACTAGTAAGTGGTTGCAATTAACAGGTAAGGAAAAATAGCAGAGAGTAACAAATTGAGAAGTGAATGAGAGTGAAGAAAAAAGTCTATATTACTTTTCAATTTCAATTTGAAAGAGAAAAACAAAAAAGATGGAGTAGTAGCTTGAAAAGGGTATAAGTCCCAGGAAAGGTTGTTTGTTCAGAATTATACTAAGCAAGGCTAGGCAACCCCAAATTCTCAGAGGCTTAGAACCACAAGGATATACTCTTGTTCACGCTACATAACCATCCTTTGGCTGCTCAGAGTCTCAGGCTAATGTAGCAACTGCCTTTTCAAAGGTTCCTAGCTGCTGGGTCACAGGAAAAGATAGAGACCTGGCCATAAATTGCTCATCAGGTAATGCCTTATTTCACTTCTGCTTGTAACTCATTGTCTGTAACTCATTACTGGCCCAACTAAACCACCAGGAACTACAGAGTGAATTCCTATCACTTGACCTAAGCATGGAGAGCTGGAAATACTTGAAACCAGCACTGGGTATTACCACGAAGAACTTGGAAGGAAAAAAGACAATGGAGATAAAATAAAAATAGAAAATGTGAGAGCAATCTTTGTTAGAACAAAGTACAAGAGCAGGGGAAGACAGGGAATTTAGTGTCAAGGTAGAGGAGTCCTCTTTCTCTGAGAGGACAGAAAATATTGAAGTAAAAACTGAGTTTAAATGTGGAGGCGTTGGAAGTTGAGAACATCTTTTCTTAACACTCTCAGTGTTTCCTATGAAAGAAGATTCTGACTTAGAATAAGGGGAGTGATTAGGAAATAACTCACTTAAAATACTGGCAAAGGTCTGGAAAATTGGTAAACATTGATGGGGTAGAAGCAAGTAAGGAATGTTAAACAATACCCAGTACTGGGGACCCAACTGAGGTTGGGAACCGTACATTTCATAGGCTGAAATCTTCAGTTTAGGATAAGTGGCCCAGAAGCAGAAGCCAAAAAAGCAGCAAGTTATATTTAAGACTAAAGTGGTGAAAGCAGATTAAGAACCAAGGTATAAACATGTGAGAGTTGTGGTGAAATGCTTTGAAGTTGTAGACCATACTTGCAAGGTTTGTGCCAAAGAAAGAGAAGTATGGTAGATGCTTAGAGAATGAAAACCAGGAAGATCCTGGGATTGAAGTTTTCAATCAGATCAAAGAAAAAGGTTATCTGGAAGCAAGGAGGGCAAGAGTAAAATGATGGAAAATCATGATTCTTTTATATATATAATGAGTCATGATATTAAAGCTTGCTTCTCTAACAAACAGCTCCCAAATGTTATGGCTTAACACAATATGCACTTACTTCTCTCACACCCAGTGGTTGATGGTGGTATTCCTAAGCGAGACAGATTTCCTGGGCAGCTTTCTCTAAGTAATGAACTAAAGGGATCCAGGCTCCTTCCTTTCTGTGGCTCTACAAATTCCTGATTCTTTGCCTTCAATCATGAAGGCAGGGAAGAGAGAGCATGGAAGATCACAAAGGATGATTATGAGGCCAGGTCTACAGAACTTCTGCCTATAATTCTTAAGCCAGACCTACTTATCTTCACCTAAAAGTAAATATATTCAGAAATGTAGTCTTCTTATTTTCTAAGAAGGAAAATGAAAAACGGTATCATAAACTTAAGAATATTTTCTATCCCATGTCCTCCCCTTTGATCACAAATCATGCAATAGCCATTCCTACATATAGAAGACACACACTATCTTCCCAAGGAAACAACCCAAGTCCCCACTAGTCCCCATATCCAATGCAGAGTTCAAGATTTCTTATTTTTGTACAAACTTTCACATCAAGTTTATATGTAGCTCATAGTGTTTCATATTTATTGATATCACATAATAAGTAATAGAAAACAATAATAAAGAATAAAAATAATAAACAAAATAATAATAAAATAATTCAAAATAATAATAAAAATAATAAGCCAAAGAAAAGTTTATATGTAGCTCTTCTTTGTCCAGCAATCTGGAAACATCAAAGACAGCTTATCTGCCCATACCCTCCCCACTTTTATGCACATTCATAGACTCAGTACACAATGGTGGAATAGGGACAAATCTACTACAATAACACTTTCTTTTGGAAAAATAAGACTGGAAGACGCATTACAGTTACTAGTCCATAATACTTTTGAAATCCCACTGGAAGACATCAAGAATGCCCCTGACCCTTAGCTTGAAGATGCCCTTGAATATTGCTTTGATTCTGCTCACTGGAAAGAACACTTTGACCCATTGTTCTCAAGGGCTCCTGACCCTGTCCTGGAGTAGGTTCCTTCTTGTCTGTTATTTTCCTTGGTCATATATGTTATGTGTGTATATTTGTGGCATCCTCACCTCAGGACCATGGAATTTTCAAAGCCTGCAACTACTCATGGAAAGTTGCAGGCCCAAGGGATTTTTAAACTTAAAGAATTAAAGGCATTATTAAACCAGGCATACATTTTTTTTCTTTTGCAATATGATTCGGTCAAACCTAGTGGGCTTCTGATCTATTTGCTTTTTGTCTCTGCCATGTACTGGTAACCACACCCAAAGTTTTTTCTTAGATTTTTCCAGACTCCTAGTCCTGACTCCTTTTCTTTCTGCTCTCATTCCCTCTCTTTGAAATTACAGCAGCTACCTTGAAGGTATCCAAAATAATAATTAGTAGGAGGACCACAACCTTAACTTGTTCTGAGTCACTTTCTTACTTTCTTTAGCTGAGATGATTTACCTCACTTTTGTTTCACAAAGCCTTCTAAAACAGCATTTCTTAATATTTAGGGTCTGGAAGATGTTGATTTCTTTAACCCAATGAAGCTCAAAATGTCTGTATTTTCTCTCTGTGCCCTTTCACATCTGCTTGTAAACTGGTTAATGATTTCCCAAGCTGAAGATTTGCTTTCATTAACTTACCAAATGTAGCTAGTAATAATCAACATACACTATTCCGTTTCTTTCCTATCTACAGTTAACAGATCAGTATCCCTATAATCTGCCTCCCAAATTACTACAGGCAACCATTTTGCCAATATTGTTTTCTACTATTTCTATTGTTAGATAGTGATTTTTCCAGAATCTGATATCAGTGTTCTTGCTGTTATAGGAACACACTACTTCAAAGTATCAGTTTCTATAATTCTTACCAAAATTAATGCCTACCCAAAATCTCAGTGACTTGTCATAAATAAAAGTGTGTATATATGTGGTATGTATATACATGCACACATATATGTATACACACACACATACACACAGAAGTTTTTCCTAACCAGTACAAAGTCCAATGTGATGTTTCTTATTGGATGATTCTCCTGAACAGCTCCCTTTCAAAAGGTAATTTCAGAGATTGTTGCTTTTTTTTTACCTTTCTTTGCCACCATTCACCAGGTAATCAGACTCCTGAGCTGGATCCCATGCAACTGGCCAGCCTATAGAAAGAGAAAAAGAAGCACAGAGAATCGTGTGGGGATTTTAGAGACAGAAAGGGAAGTAATTACATCACTTAGTAACCACATTGTATTGACCGGAAATATTTACATGATTTACCTGGATAGAAGGAGTCTAGGGAAATATATCTTTATTGGGGCTCTGGAGGAAAACAAAATAATGCATTAAACACAGCATTGTCCCCTGGTACATATATATATGACATATATTTATGTAAATACATTTACAAATCATTTACATATTCCCTAGTCCTTGCCTCAAAATGTCTAGACTAAAATAGACTAAACTATTTCTCACTAATTCTACTCCAAAGTTATTTCTAATCACTACTTTCAATTAGTGTGAATTGCCTTCTGTATAGGAAAATTTAAAAAAAATAATCATGATTTCATTGTTTTATACGATTTTACTATGTAATCTAAAAAGCAATTAAACTGTGAAATAAGCAAAACATAAGATATAATGATAGCTTAAAAAATATAAGTACAGGGGCATCTGGGTGGCTCAGTGGGTTAAGCGTCTGCCTTTGGCTCAGGTCATGTCAGGGTCCTGGGAACAAGCCCACTTAGGGCCTCCCTGCTCAGTGGGGAGTCTGCTTCTCCCTCTCCCTCTGCCTCTTCCTCCCCACCCCCCTTGTACTCTGGCTTGTTCTCTCTGACTCTCTCAAATAAATAATTAAATAAATAAGGAAGTACGTAATTTCAAAGACTGGTCAATTTACTTTTTTCTTTACATTTCGCTGTATCGTGATATTGAATCAACTAATCTGCCCTATCTCCTTTCAGAGTTCAACCCCTACTGTTGATACTGGTCTCATGAAAACTAATTAGTATATCTCCATATCAACAGTAACTAATTTCTGAAACCTTTGATACAAATAGCTTTCCATCTGTCCTGGGAATAACATAATGTTTTTATTCACGTACATGCAAGAGATAAGAAAGAAGCTTCAAGAATCCTGGATTACGTTGTGGTTGTATGGAATGAAGAGGCTGTCTACACTATCTGAATACTTCTGGTTTACGGGAAGTGGGGGCTGGAAGAGGAGCATCCATATGCGTTTCCAAAGGCTTCCTATTGAGCATCTTTGCATGTACTTGCAAATATACTAGATTGTACTGGCAAGCCCCCCAAAGAGTGTAGAATCAACATGAAGTGACTAAAATCAGACCATGTTTAATTATTACAACATTTTGATCTCTTCCATTCTATCACGGAATGATAGAATCTTTCATACTGAGTCTCTTCTTTCAAGAAATATCTGAATCCTCTTTTAACAGACTTGCCTGATTGAGTCAGGCCTACCCAGGATACTCTCCCTTTTGATTAACTCAAAGTCCATCTGCTATGGGACTTCAGCAGCATTTAGACTAGATCGGCAGATCAGAGAATCAAGGCTGGATAGAGAAGGAATGAAAACAGGGGAGAGTGGGTAGATATGGAAAAATGAATATGGCATGGAATTAAAAAGTACAGGCATACCTCGTTTTTTTGCACTGTGCTTTATTACACTTCGTACATATTGTGGTTGTCACAAATTGGAGGTCTGTGGCAATCCTGCATCAAGCAAGTCTATCAGAACTGCTTTTCCAGTAGCATCTGCTCACTTCGTGTTTCTATGTTACATTTTGATAATTCTCATAATATTTCAAACTTTTTCATTATTATTATATTTATTATTATATTTGTTCTGGTGATCTGCAATCAGGGATTATGATGTGTTGAAAGCTCAAATAATAGTTAGCATTTTATTTTTTTTTTTTTTATTATTTTTTTTTTTAAATTTTTTTTTTAAGATTTTAGTATTTATTTGAGAAAGAGAGAGGGATAGAGCACAAGCAGGGGGAGCAGCAGAGAGAGAGGGAGAAGCAGGCTCCCCGCCGAGCAGGGAGCCCGATGCGGGGCTCGATCCCAGGACCCTGGGATCATGACCTGAGCCGAAGGCAGACGCTTAACCGACTGAGCCACCCAGGCGCCCAATAGTTAGCATTTTAAAGCAATATTTATTAAGGCATGCTCATTTTTTGTAGACATAATGCTATTGCACACTTAATAGACTATAGCATAGTATAAACATAACTTCAATATACACTCGGAAACAAAAAAAAATATTTGAATCACTTTATTGCAATATCACCTTATTACAGCGGTCTGGAACTGAACCTGCAATATCTCCAAGGTATGCCTGTGATGAGAGAGGAGAGAGATGGGGAAAGATAGAGGGAAATGCTGAAGTGATGTCTTCAGTAGGCAAGAAAAGCTAGGATTCAGAAGATAAATTAAGGGTCTGGCCTTAGAGAGGAACATAAATAATTCATCATAATAATAGCAGGAACATATGGACATAATAATAATAGCTGAGCATATGGGCATCATTATAGGTAAGTGGGTAAATGTGGTGTGGGGGGCTGAGGAAGTGCTCTTTGGCAAGGTCATTTTTTAGACAAGGTTTTCCGAAGGTGGCAAGTATCTAATTAAGGAAGTGCTCCCAGGAGAAAGCTGCTGGGAGTTGGGAAAGGAGGACAGAGAAGAAGCCGCCAAGCAAATGTGCAATGTTGGCAGTGTTCCCAAGAGTATCTTCGGGATGATCCTACAGGGAAATACCAGAGGGTAAATTTTATTTCAGAATTTCTGATGGTGAAAGCATAATGTGTCTGCTGCTTATGCTATTTCTTTTGTTTCTGTTCTTTCTGTTTCTGTTGGCAGGCAAGGTCGCATGGGCTTTTTATTTTTTTAGCAGAGTTAGCAAAATCCAAGAATCCAGCACTTAGTGGCCCCATGGATGTCCAGACAGAGCACAAGGCATCCACGTGGCCGGGGTGGATTATTACAGGAGCAATGAAGGACTAATCTGACAGAAGTGATGGCAGCTTCCTGGTCACGAAGAAGCAGCTGCTGCCACTGTTCCCTCCTTTAAGCTTTGGAACATGGATTATTGCTCCTGAAATACTCTTCTTCCCCACTTCTCTGGCCCACCCACTGGCTCTACAGGACTTCTAATCACTTGTAACAAATCTTGAACTGTTTGCCTTGGCTAAAATGGATTCAATTCTCTAACAAATACAGATATTTGTATTAGAATCTGCTCCAGTGATATACATAGTATCTTCTTCACTCTTAAAAATACTTTAATTTGGATGGTAAATTAGATCATCAGCAAAACCCATATTCCTCTAGTTCTTCAGTCTATACTTGTTAATTGTCAGACAGTGTATCTTTACTGAACATATTTCAAGGATTGTAACAGGAAGACTGGGCTGTAGAATATACTGGGACCTCAAAATTTACGGATAGAAGGGAAGAGCAACTGGGAGGTAGGCCTTGAGGAACTGCCTGAGAATCAAGACTAAATTTGAAAAATGGCTACACTATTAGAATAAATTGAGAATATCAAAAGCAGAGGTGGAAACCACCTTAACTAAAGGACTGAATCTAACCTCACCAAAAAAGGTATATAATTACAGCAGGGGTCCACTGATGTGCTGAACCAAGATACCATATCCTTTAGGTGGCATTCATACCAAAATGTTTGATTTCAAGCCTGAGAAAACAATCAGAAAAAGGCAAATCAAGGGAAATTAAGCAAAACAAAACAAACATATATTAAAACAAAACTAAAGCTGTCCTGGACTCTCCAAAAATGTCAATTTCATGAAATATTTAGAACAAGAAGAGCCAGGGAAAGTCTATATCAAAGAGACCAATGAAATATGACAACTGAAAGAAGGTATGCTAATTAGATTCTGGATTATTAAAAACATAGTCAAATAATACAGGTTTAAGGATATTATTAAGACAGATGCATTTTTAATGTGGATCTTATTTTTGATAACAGTATTGTATCAACATTAATTTTTTAACATAATAAATATAATGTAGTTATGATCCATTTTTAGGAAATATATGCCAAAACATTTAAGAGTGAAAATCTTGATATATGCAACTCTCAAATACATACACATACACACAGACATGTACAAACACAGACACTAACCCACACACACATACAAAGGCACACACATGTGCACGCACACACACTGAAAGTTCAAATGAGGAAAATTGTTAAAAACTGATGGGTATGGGTGAAGAGTATATGCGTTTCATTGTACCATTTTTTTTTTTAAGATTTTATTTATTTATTTGAGAGAGAGAGAATGAGAGACAGAGAGCACGAGAGGGAAGAGGGCAGAGGGAGAAGCAGACCCCCTGCTGAGCAGGGAGCCCGATGTGGGACTCGATCCCAGGACTCCAGGATCATGACCTGAGCCGAAGGCAGTCGCTTAACCAACTGAGCCACCCAGGCGCCCATCATTGTACCATTTCTTGTAACTTTTCTGAGCTGTTAAAATTTTTCAAAATAAAACACTGGAAGAACAAAGATAATGTCAAAAGGTAGAACTCTATAAAATTAAAGTCACAACCACTAGGAAATACAATTTGTAATCTCATGTTTTACATAAAGTAATACCTAAAGAGCACCGGATCTTTGGTTCTCAAATATCCACCCAACTAATAAAAGTTATTTGAAAGAGTAAAAATTTCAAAATTACTTATTTATATTAATTTGAGCTGGACAATAAAATAAAACAAGGCAAAAAAATTCCCCTGTCATAACTTACCAAGCAGGCACAATTTCTGTTTACTTATGTGAGCAATGAGAGATAATTACCTCCACTTCCAGATTTCATTGTTGAAAAATTATATTTAAAATGTAGCTATGCTTGTTACCTGGGTTTTGAGTGCACAAGCTTTCATGTTACTTTTATTCTTAATATACTATGTATACTGCATGGAGCACTGGGTGTTATACACAAACAATGAATCATGGAACACTACTAATGTATGGTGACTAACATAATAAAATTAAATTAAAAAAAATACTATGTATATTGAAGTAAATATTTTAAATAGTAAAACTATTGATACTGTTATTCACATATTTATATTAATGTATAAATAATTATTTAAACAAATATTGTAAGACCAGTATGTGCATCATCCATCTTAAATTAACATTCTTCCCATTTCTTACATAGACAGAACACAAAGTATTAGAAAATTCTACTTGTCTCATTTTTATTTTCTCTGAAATTATGTCCTATATTTCACCACATTTGAAGTTCTTTGTTTTAAGGAGTTAT